GACCTTTGAGATCATCGAGTCCAACCTTTAACCTAACCCTGCCATCCCACCACTAAACCATGTCCCTAAGCACCTCATCTATCCTTCTTTTAAATCCCTCCAGGGATGAGGACTCTACCACCTCCCTGGGCAGCCCACTCCAGAGCCTGACACCTTTCGGTGAAGTTTTTCCTAATATCTAGCCTAAACCTGCCCTGGCACAGCTTCAAACTATTCCCCCTTGTCCTATCATCTGTTACCAGGGAGAAGAGACCGACCCCCACCTCACTAAAGCCCCCTTTCAGGTAGTTGTAGAAGGAGAGCATGGACCGCTGCTCCCCACCACCTGGTCACTGCCAGCCCTGGCCCAAGCTCCAAACCCAGCCCCCCTCCCCAGTATCCTGGCCGCAGGAGGCTGGGGCCGTGCCCACCGAAGTGTGAGCCCTCACCCGCCGCAGCAGCGCCAGCTCTATGCTCACGCCGTACTTCCCCAGCACGGGCTGTAGCGCTTCCCGGATGCGTTTGGTTGACTTTGCCGTGATGCGGATGGTCTTATTGAGGGAGGAGATTTCCAGCCTGTGGAGGGGGAGAAGAGGCTGGCTGCAGGCAAACACGGACAGGCAGGAGTGGCAGGGGCAGAGCCAGGGCGTTCGGGACTGCCTGGAGAGTTGGGTGTGGGGCACCACGGGTGGCCACACGTGATGCGGACTGGACACATGTGGACAACAGCATCAGCCCAAAAGCTCCCACTCACTCAAAGCTTATCCTGTTCTCCAGCTTCACCTCCTGGTCTGCCAACACGGAGCATTCCTGGTCCAGCACCAGTGCCTTCTGCAAGAGCCAAACGATCAGGAGAGAGCAAGCAGAGCAGCCCATGGTCCCAGCCTGGGGACAGGCCAGCTGGCAGGACCCCCCTCTCCCCCTGCCCACCCTACCTGCTCATTCCCCACCAGGTAGACCTTGATGTCGGGCAGGCTGAAGCCACGCTTCTCGCATATCCCTGCCAGCATGTCGCGGATGGAGTGGCCAGGCCGGATGGAGGCCAGCGAGGCCGTGCCGTCGGGCAGGTACACGCAGCAGTACTTCATGGCCTTGGCTGGCAGCTCTG